TTTCACTTTCGAAAGACCTGCTTTTGAAAATGCAATCAGAAGAAGATATGCAAATTAGTGCCAAATTTGCATATCTCCTTTCAAGAAAAACCCGTAGTCTAAATGTGCCCTCTATGTTTTCCCTCAGTCATCTCCATGTTCCCCCTTACCCTTTCAGTTTACCTTCTCATCTCCCATCAGCCATTTTGTTGTATTGGATGCTGAACTGGCTCACGTACCATACCTAGCCTTTTCTTAAGGATGGTGCAAACTGAATTGGAATTGTGTGCCGTTTCAGGCCCAATGGCCATCTGTTCATGATCAATGTCCTATTATATAAGGAGAGGATTTTCTCAATTTTCCAATAAATCATTTTTAAAGGCTTATACAAGACTGCTGTTTTTTGTCAGATTCTTTCGGCAAAAACTGTAGCTTCTTTTAACCCTTCACATGATGTATAATCCCAACTTTCCTAACATTTCTCAAACATATCATCTTGTTTTTGCTTCAGATTCTCACATACAATTATTTTTTTAACATGTTTCCCATCAGCGCCCCTACAGTATAAAAGCATATACAGTATATGAACCTATTGCCCTATTTATATGGGAAACTAAATGTATGATGTCACAGCTCTGTGAGCAGCAAAGCATTTTCAGATTATATCTATTGCACTACAAGAAAGGTTTTATACACACTCTCTCTCTCTCTCTCTCTGTCTTTTATACAGTAGTTTTCCTGTTCTCTTAGGCTACATCTAGACTTCAAGCCTCTTTTGAAAGAGGCTATTTTGAAAGATACTTTAGAAAAAGCCTCTTTCGAAACAGAACATCTAGACTACAACCATTACTTTCAATAAAGTAAGCTGCTTTTTCAAAAGAGAACATCCAGGCAGTCTGGATGCTCTCTTTCGAAAAAGCACAGTTTGCATAACATGACGCCTTTTTTCGAAAGAGTACTTTCGAAAAAAGGCATTCTTCCTTGTGAAACGAGGTTTTCCACGGTCAAAAAAACTGCCACATTCTTTTGATTTACTTTCGAAAGAATGGAGCAGCAATCTAGACATAGGAGAAGTTTTTTCAAAAAAAGGCCACTTTTTTTTGAAAAAACCCTGTAGTCTAGACACACCTTTAGAGTTTTACTTAGCTTTTAGGAGAAGTGTTTTGAATTTAGTTTTATGGTAATTTTGAGGGTCTGGGCTTAAATCTGAAGACATTTAGGCATTAAGATTTCATTGAAATCAATTGGAGATGGATACTTAAATACCTCTGAGGATCTGGGCCAAATTTATAACATCTAGAAACAACACAAAAGCTGTGAAATCTCTGTCAATGACTGTCATTATTGATATCAGATCATAGCCAGAGGTCACGAGTTACGTGGGATACACTGTGTGTGGTGACAGAGGAAGATCAAATGATGATATATTCTCTTCTATGTAGAACAATGATTCTGACCCGATGCCTTCAGGACTTGATTTATAAGAACTTATTTATGGGGATCTATGTCTACATGTAGTAGAAAATATGCACTTTTTTGCCTCTCAAACATTCTGTAGAAGAAAGTAATCTTAAATTCTAGTTTCCATATCATTGTAAATTTCACATCAACTTGGGATTCGAATTCACTTCCTGTTTTCACAGCATGACTGCTCCATGTACTAAACTGTCAACACGGTTACTGTATGTTGAGAGGAAGGCCCCTTCCTTTCAAACTGTTGTTATTGCTAGTATATCCATGCACAGCACTCTCTTCTCCAAAGAATTTAGACCAACTAGTTGAACCCTCCAAATGATTTTAGAAGTTATTCAGCTAGGTTAAGATATTACTGATCTTCACAGAATGAAGGTCCCCAGATCTTGCTTTCCACCCTTAGTATGCAGTGCCATTATTTGTCCAAGATTATAAATTATTCACCTGCATGGTAGAACATGTAGTCACCATTATTTATTGCACTGAGACGTGTTGATACCACTGCTCAATAAAATACTTAAGGGAGAAACTATGTAACAAACTGCTGCTTCAGCTCCTGCATCAAGTTGTATATTATGTGATCTTTTTTCATAGTCTTTAATGCATGGCATTGAACGTTTCCTGAGATAGGAATTGCACAAGGTAGGCAGAGCCAGTGAACTGAAATCTTGACCAATGTGCTATGACTGACATGTCATCCACCATTTAACTAGTGTTGCACATGATATATTAATGGCGATTTGAACATGACCCCTTCTCAGCTTACTTGAGATTATTCATTAATCTTCAGTATACTGCTTCAATAAAGCTGAAGGAGGGACTATTAACAGAGGTTACTTAAAATCATGGACCCATGTAATTAATTAGGAAAACTATGGAATAGCAAGATATTCAGACTGGTGATATGAATCTCAGTATGGGTGCTTTTTATGGCCAACATTTTCAGAATGCCTATATTTAGTGTATATGACTGTCTTTGCCTTTCCTAAGCTATTGTATTCTGAAGAGTCTATGTAGGTTGTGTAGGAAGGAGAGCAACTGAAAAGAAAATTCAGTTATCCCGAAGATAATGGGTCCAAATAGTTTTGCTACCCAAAATCTTGGTAGTGTTTTTCTTTTGCTTCTGCTGCTGATGTTTTCTCTATAAATTGTGGTTAAATAAGAAGGTTCAGTTCTGCTCAGTTAGGCCAATAGAAATCCAGAGCCCAGAATTGGGTTCCAAATATCCAGACATGATACTTCTTTTTGGCTGATACATTTGAGGGGTCACAAAAGTATGATTGATGATTTTTTTTTATCCTATCATTAAATGTGAACTATTGGCTGAGGTTCATATTTTGTGAAAATAATTTTGCCATTGTTTTACTTTTCCAGTTGACATTGATGTATTTCCCCTTGAGTATTGTTTTGTTGATTTCCTGCTTACATCCCTGGAAACAGAGAGTCCTCTTCAGCAGAGTTACTTTTACAATCCAATCTTTCAATCAGCACTTTCTCTTCTTTTCCTTCTCCTCTCCAAGACTTCATGACCAATGCCTCTTTTCACACTAATCTTGTATTAGCAATATGGTCCTTATTACTGCAAACAGTTATACACACATAACTTTAGTGCTGTGAGTAGCATGGCTGAACTCAGTGAGTATAATTACATAAGCACTTATGGGTTTGCAGGGTTGGAGCCATGGATTTTATTTTGGTGTATCAAGGTAACATAATTAAAATTAACTCACTGTCATGACCCCAGTGGCAAAGATAGTACAGAATTCTCAAACAACCACCAAAGGCATATTGTTCATATACAACATAAACCTAATTTATGGAATATTTCCAGGAAGTTATAAATGAGATCTGAAAAGTAAAGTAACTTCCCCCGGCCAGCGCTTGCTCTTGCAACAATTACTGTGCAGTCTTCTCTCTGACATGCTGATATAAGCACAGATTCAAAATACTGAGTTCCGATACACAGTAGATCATAGAAACCTTCAGGAGACTGACTGAAAGCCACATAAAGTCAATGGAGAGACTCACACTGATTTGGATGCATACTGCGTCATCCTCCAAGGAAATGTCTGCCACAGACAAACAACACAATGCAGGCAAAACTTTTTAACAATTAAAAGTTACAGCTTTACAGTATTTCACTTCTGTCTTCTTCCCTTTTCTATAAGAAATCTGCCATAATAATTTAGACAGCAGTAAGTCAGCTCTTTGCACAAAACTCACTCTCAACATAACAACAAAATATTCAGTTTACTAACAAGTAAGAGATACCCCCAACACTGAAAACTATGATTACATTTTAGATTTATTCTTGTAACTAGTTTTGGTACTACCTTCCCTTCCCCACACTGCTCCACAGTCATCAATGCTTTTAATGTCACTAAAAACTTGGCTATATTCGGTGTTAGAGAAATCTCATGATAACACAGGAAGTTTTTTATAAGTGTCCCTTGTGCCAAGTTAAGACATATGGCAAGCCTGAAAAAAAAAAACCTTGATTTTTGAATGGCAATTATAACATGAATTTCCGCATAACACATATATTGCATTTAACATATTGCTTCTGGCAAAGACCCTACAAAAAGTATTAAATGCATGTTTCTATGATATTTATATTTTTTCAATGCTTTTTTTGGTATATTTCTATTTAAAACACCCAAGCCTCTAACATGGGAGAGTTTCTTTCAGATGAGTAGCTCTCAGCAGAATATTATACATTATTTGTTCATTATACATTATTTTTTTCCTGTAAGCCTTTGTGTATGCATTTTATGTGTCTGATACAATATATACATTACAAAGAAATATAAGAGCAATTATTTATTGTGAACTACTATAACTACTAATACTAGTTTATAAAAACTTATATCCTTCTTTTGAAATTTCAAATACTGTAGCCTATATTTTATACACCAGGTTAACTGAATCCCATTGACTTCATGTGATACATGCATAGATTTTTTCTTCAAGGAAAAAACCTACTCCCCAAGCAAAAATTTAATGAATATTATTTCAGTCTGAAGACTCAGCTTAGTAGAATAATTGGCATCAATGACACTTACCTGTTTATGTGGAGGTTATCCAGCTATTATCCAGCTCAAAATCATGCATTTTAAATAATAATGCAATGCTTGAAATTTATGACCATACGGCTTTTACCAACAATGTTTTTATCAGAGTCTTCTCAACACAATTAGTGCAATTTGCTGCATTGTTTGTAGTTAAAACCAATGTGCCAGAGGTAATTATGCAGATAAAGACATTGCATAGAAACTACAAGATTTAGAGCAGTTTGTATTTATTGGTCATTTGCCATAAATATTACTTGGGTCATACATATGCATTTTAGCCTAAAAGAATGACAAGCCTCTTTCCACAAAAGACAAAGTCAGTTACATGACTAACTTACTCTCACAAGTATGTTGAAAAGAACAAAATCAATATTGCACAGAAAGATGGATCAAGCATGAATCAATGTGGCAAGCACATAACCAAACAGACATGGAGTTAAACAAGAAAAAAAAAACAACAAAGAATTATCGCTTAACCTGTTTTGTCAGAGCTGGTATTGATGGTATTGGTAGTGATGGAAGTGAAGGTAGTCTTTGCGCTGTCCTTGGTAGCAACAGATTTCTGCTTATTTTTCATGGCTTCCAGTGCTTTGAGCTTCTTGGCATGTTTAGTGCCTTTGTAGTGGGCCGCAGCCTGGCTCTACAAAGGAGAACAAAATGAACCATGCAATCAGGCTCATTTCTAAACTGGCATTCTCTGTATTAGTACAAATACAGACTACCTTTCAATAATGGGTACCATTCAGAAAACATAGGCAGTGACCGAATTATATAGAGAATGATGCTTAGGAAACAGTGAAAATCATATTCAAACAAGCCCAATATAATAAATATTATGTAATACTATATTACTTTCAGCTCAATATAATAGAGCTGTACTCTACCAAATGTCAAATGCATTCTCTTTATCAATTTTGCTATTATGAGGTTTTTGCTATCACATAAAGATTCAAAGTCCCAGAGAGCCAGGAGGAAGACATGTTTTTCTTCTGACAGGTCTAGGGTTTATACACTTTCTATTACAAATTTTGCCACACATTTCTGTAGGGAATGGTTTACATCTAACTTTGGAAGCAGGTACTCGTCAAATGAAAAGCAAGGATTGACTATCCAGAAAACCCCATCACCTCAGAACTAACTGAATGCAATGCAGACATGCCCATTTTTGGCTTTTTTTAAAAAAAAATAATTAGATAGTTTCAGTCCACCTGCTACAAAGATAGTCAGTAAAATTCAAGGTGAGAGGTTTTCAGTGTATGATTCCGTGGCCAAGCCTACCATGTTGCCAGATGTGTTTTGGCTACTTGGCTGAATTCGAATACTTACTAAAGATTTTCACACTACTCTGTAAGAACTTTGAATCACTGTTATACGAAGAGTTCATTGTGATAACTCTTCTATGCATTTATGCTACTTATTTCATGGGGCATTTAAGTATAAAAAGTATCTTATTAAAATGGTGGAGGTGTGTAAATATTCTTCCTGAATAGCTTCTCTAGATATTTACAGCTCTTCTGCAAAACAAGAGCCAATCCTGCAATTCATAAAATTAATGGAACATTACACACCACAAGATTTCTGCTACCAAACTCCAACCCTGATTTGTAGCAATTCTCTTTTTGGCAACAAACAAGGCCACTAATTCTTCAGGAAAAGACCTGAACTTTAATCATTTTGGAGTCAAAAGCTAAGTATGTTATACAGCAGCATTGTAACTTGTAGTGAAAACAGCAGGAAATAATTATATATGAAACTGAAAGGATCAGCGACATAACAGGACTTCAGTCTTTCGATGTAAGCCAATACTGCTGATATGGGAGAATGCAATATTACCTAGGATGTTAGCATTTTATTTTAACATAATCTTATGGGAAATTTTCTGGGGTGATGCCAGGACATGCTAAGCTAATATTTATATTATAATGAGGTTTATTTATAGTTCCCAGTACTGATGAAAAGTCATTATTCCTGCCTCAACACCTGTAATTTGGATATGAAAAAAGTGAAAGAGAGAGATTTAATCTAATCTAAAAAGTTAGCTCTCTTTTACATGCATCATTCACTTTGGTTGAAACATTGATTTCTGTATCCCTAAAATACAGAAGCTATACTAGGTACCCTTATTGAAAGAACACTGGACGGTGAAGTTATCAGTTAGAAACAACTTGAACAGAAACAGCACAACCATGCAAGTTTTACAGTTCCCAACATGTAACACTAAGACGTACTATAAGCCAAATATGAACAGTTAAGTGATGTTAATTACTGTTAATTTGAAGGACCAATGTCAGGTTAGGATGATGGCATTAAAATGGAACAATACTGTTTATTATGCCACTAATACAACATGTTTATTGCCATGATTTATAGCCATGTATGATTATCTTCTCTAAAAATATTGTTTGTCAGCATTCTATTTTATTTTGATCAGTCAGGTCCTGACACTGATATACTTACTTACACTGACTAGTAGTTTACTACTCCACTGCGAGTAAAGCTATCGGATTTTGGCCATACACATTTGATTATTAATTTGGTATTTGTCTGACACACTCTTCCTGTATGTCCATCATTCCCTCAGCTTTCAACACTCCTTGGTAAAGCTCCACAAACATGATGTCAAGAGTGTTTTGTGTATACAGTTATTGCACAATGAGGCCATGCCTGGGAATCTGTGACCTTTACAGTGTTCTGAAATATAGAAACAGAATTTCTTCAAGTAGAAACCCATTGCTTCAATTTACAAATAAAAAATGGCTGCTATGGAAAATTGTCCATTGCTCACTTCCCAGACGGCTTCCAGTTTACCACATTCTACTAACAGAAGATTTGTATAGCTTTTTTTTTTATTTCAGAGTGCAAATCTACATTCTTTGTGGGGCTACAAATGCATCTGAGGTTGTTTCAAGATAATCATAGCTGGCAGGTAAATGGTAGTGCTATGTGGTACAGGATAGTTTACTCCATAAGCATCTAACCATCCCCAAATGAGCATACACTCTGAACTGGAACACTACAAAAAATCTGTCATTGTCTTCCACAGCAGGAGGAAGCCAGCAGGAAAAAAAAAGGAAAATAATTCATGAATATTCTATCCAGTGTGAAAATAGAAAATGTGATAGCAACACCTGACAGAATCATTTCTTAGAAAACTAAAGAGAACCAAATAAGTCTCATTACTAGAATGTCACAGCTACTTAAAGCTTACGTCTAAAAATCAGATTTTAAGACAGAATTATTCCAGAGAGTCATGCAGAAATGTTAAGAAAAATGGGAAGGAAAGGAAGGAATAATTCAGATTTTTTTGTGGAAATTATGATTCAGAACTATGTGAAAAGAGTGAATAAGCAACTACACCTTTCTATGGGGTGGAGAAATCCTGCTGTGATACTCTTTAATATAAAAGTGGCAGAAAAAAGTGAACTGGAAAAGAGTAAAAACACCCTAGATTTGTATTCTGGCTAAAAGGAATGATGCAAAATGTTACAAGATGCACTAGGTGAAATCCTGGACTTATTGAAGTCAGTGTAAATTCTGCCATTGACTTAAGTGGAGGTAGGCTTTTGCCAACAGTGTATTTTAAAAGGACTATTGCCTGGTTTAATTGCCAATTAACTGTAGAGGCCCCTTGTCCTTGGGAAATTGTATTGTTTTACTTTTACTTAAACCAGTAGTTCCAACATACTAAATTGATTCCGTGTAATAGTATGGGGAGAAGCTCCTCTACTACCACAGAGTATTTTGTGATTTTCTCTCTCTCGCTCGCTCCCCTCCAAAAAGGCAGTTACTTTTTTAAGTTACTTAAAATTAAAGCCTGTTTCCCACCACAAGTTCAGTCTCTATGAACTATATAAATACGGTTGAATATATCTTTCCTTTTTGATGACTTCATTATTTGATAACTATCACCACTCTTGGCATTGTAAAGCTATGCCTCTCTCACATCATGGGCAACCCAATCAGTGATGGGGTGCATCATTAGATGCATAAGAAATATTACACTACCCTTTAAGACATTATGCATTTTATACCAGCAAACTGAAACACTTTAAATTTCTAGGTTGTACCCAAAGTTAGATATCTATGCATCTTTAAATTAAGTTTTAAAGCTCCAATCCTATGTGTAATCAAATGATCAGGACAAACTGAAGAAATGAGCTGAGGAAAATAGGATGAAATTGAATAAGGGCAAATGCAAAGTACTCCATTTAGGAAGAAACAATTAGTTGCATACATATACAATGGGAAATGACTATCCAGGCAGAATTACTGTACAAAGGGATTAAAGGGTCATAGAGGACCACAAGCTAAATATGAGTCAATAGTGTAACACTGTTGGGAAAAAAAGCAAAGATCATTTTAGAATGTATTAACAGGAGGGTGTAAACAGAACACAAAAAGTAATTCTTCCTCTCTACTCTATGCTGTTTAGTCCTCGGCTGAAGTATTATGTCCTGTTCCTGGGTGACATTTCAGGAAAGAGGTGAACAAATTGGAAAAAGTTCAGAGAAGAGCAACAAAAATAATTAGAAGTCTAGATAACATATCCTATGAGGGAAAATTGAAAGAATTGGTTTTGTTTAGTCTGGAAAAGAGAATACTGACAGGTGATATAACAGCTTTCAAGTATCTACAAAGTTGTTTACAAGGAGGAGGGAGAAAAATTATTCATTTTAGCATCTCATGATAGGTCAAGAAGAAATGGGCTTAAATTGCAGCAAGGGAGGGTTAGGTTGGACATTAAGAAAAACTTCCTGTCAGGGTGAATAAACATGGAATTGCTTAGGGAGGTTGTGGAAGCTGTAGATTTGTAAAAGCTGTAGATTTGTAAATTGGAGATTTGTAAAAGCAAGTTAGACAATCTCCTGTCAAGGATGGTTTAGATCAGGCATGTCAAAAGGCCTCTGGAAGGCCACATGCAGCCCGATCTAAATTTTTTGCGGCCCGCCACTCTGGGGAAAGGAGGAGCCATTAGGTTGGGGGAGAGGAGCAGCTGGGAGTGCCTGGTTCTGGGAGAGGGGAGACTCATTGGGTTAGAGGGGGTGTGTGCCTGGCTCTGGGGGAAGGATAAGGCATTGGGTTAGAGTGAGGGGGGCTCTGAGGGAGTGGAGGGGGATTGGGTTAGAACGGTGGTATGGGAATGCCCAGCTCTGGGGAAGAGGAGAGGGATATTTTGTTAACAATTTGTTTTTTATTTATGTATTCCCATATAAAATCACAAAATCACAAAATGTATATTAATTTTATATTTAAAAAATCAGTTTTTGCAACTGCATGAATATTATATGTTTATGCAAAATCTCAGACTTACAAAGTATCTGAAATTCTCACAGAAGCCTGTTCTATTTGATTAACCACAGTGTACACTAGTTTTTATTTCAACAAAACAAATTATGTATCATATAAAAAATTAAAAAGTACCTTACATTTTTATTTAAATTAAAAATAATTCTATATGGGCAAATAACACTTTCACACATCAAATTATTGTATTATATTAAAACAAAACCTGAAAAATTATAAAATATACCTAAAACCTAAATAATCATGACTTTCCAATAGAATTACATTTTCTTTGGTGGCCCTGAAAGCTATCAGTTTTCCTTTGTGCGGCACTCAGCAGGCTTTGAGTTTGACATG